TGTGTGTGTGTGTGTGTGTGTGTGTGTGTGTGTGTGTGTGTGTGTGTAAATGGGTAAAAAAGGAAGCGGGGGCAGGGGGGAGGATTTGGGATGCAGAGAGAAAGAAATAGGAGTAGAACAAAGAATCAGCTTTTAAGGGTTAGAGGTTTTAAGAAATTAAGATTTATGGTAGTAAAGTTATACAAACTAATAAAAATGTGCCATGGACCAGAAGTTGGGAAATAGGAACCCACTGTACCTTTGTCTAGAAATATATCTGACTTTATCCCTGGGTCCAAAACTAACTGTAGACAGCTCGTGCTTTATGTTAAGTGGACAGTTCCATAGACTTATACCTAAAGTGATTTTTATGTAATGCGAATTTGTCAGAGAACCTGGGGAAGAGAGGGAGGCAGGCAGGCAGAAAGGGAGCCATGCCCATGGAGAAAAAGAGCTGGCACACAGTTCAAGGACATGTGGGGGCCAGGGAAGTATGAGCAGGAGGAGAAACACTGGGGATGGGGCCAGTCACAGGGGAGCCTGGCTGGAACCAACAGGAAAAACACATGGGATGCAGACATTTGAGGGCTGGACACAGACACAAACAGGAGAGGGTAGGTGACACATAGGGGCTGAGGACAGATACACAGTCGAGCAGAGATGAGCAAAAGAACGACACGTGGGACCGGACACACAGGTGCGTAGGCAGAGTGGGGCAAAGATCACCCTTCTTGGTGCTGGAGGTCTTAAGCCATGAGAGTCCATTCTTATGCTTTAATCTCGAGAGTTTTTTTTTTAAGGTTTTTTTTATCATGGCGGGGAGCGGGGGAGCTAGAAGTACCAAGGGGCAGGACAGAGAGAAAGAGTGGAGTACAGTGAAGTTAACATCCCTGTTTTCTTAGAATGCTTTCTTTAAATAATTCTTTACATAGAGTCAAATTTGCATAACGCAAATGTATGTAAAGTGAGGACTGTCTGTTATTCTTTACCGTAGCCCAAGTGACCTCTGTCAAGAACAACATTAGCAAAATATTCCATTATACCTTCTTTTCTTTACTATTATCTATCTATGCAAATACTTATTTACTATGAATGTTCTCTGAGGGGAAAAATCATTAGATCAAAAATATAGAAATGGAAAATGCCATCTAGTCCAATGCCTTAGTTTCACAGATGAGGAAACTGAAGACCAGAGAGGTTAAGTCACCAGTCCAAGGACACACAGGCAGTAGAGGAGAAAGGCAGGTTGCCAATTCAGGCAGTCAAAATCAGTTTACTTTCTACTGTACCACTGTGGGGTAAGGTCTCCACTGAGTAAACATGAAGAAAAGTCTACGATAGGATCAAAACATAAAAAGAGAATGCAAATAACCTTGAATCCAAAGGATGAATTCCAGAATTTGTAGCACTTAGAAAGAATCTCTCTTGTTGCACTAAAATTTGTTTCCCTTTTCTTTGAACAGTCACTAAAGGAAATCCTGGCTGCAGGGTCCAAGTTTTCATCATTGTTTTCACATCCAGATTTTCTTTTGTGATCTGCAAAATAAAAACAATCTCACTTGGGAGAAAAGACAACTTTGCCAAATAAATTTACTATGACTTAATTTGTCAACCTTCCTCTTTGCCCGAGGACATCAGATAAAGACCACCTTTAGCTCAGTCTTAATGAAAAGCCAGCAGCATAAATCTGCAGAGCTAAACCATTAGGGATATTAATCAACTGAAGAACTTTGTCAGAAACAATGAAGAAAAAATCAGAAAACATGGAGAGGAACTAAATGATGATCTAGTTTAGAAGGGTGTGATAAATATATAATATATGTGTGTGTGTGTGTGTGTATATATATATATATATACACACACACACACACATATATACACACATACACACACATATAATATATACATATATACACACACACATACATACATACACATACTTATATGTGTGTGTGTAATATCACATACAGAAAAGTAACTACATGGTAAAAGAGATAAACAAAATATGACACATTTTTACGAAATAAACACATTTTTTATACCTTGGAAGAATGTGCTTTTTCCTACCCAACTCCCTCATAAAAAAACTAATAATTTAACTATTCTCATTATTTTATGAGATTTTTGGTTTACACTTACATGCTAACTAAGGATGTGGAATGGAGAGCTTTTCTTAATTTCTCACTATTTTCAGTTAAATGAAATACCTAGAATAAAATCTCGAGAACACTTACCTCATTAAAACTATTCCAAAGGTCATCACTTTGAATAGATGCATAGCTGTGATTGTGTAAATAAAGTATGACGCAATGCTGAAATACATCTTCTTTCAGAAAACTTTTCAGCATTAACAAAAGAGATGCTCCCTTTAAAAAAAATTAAAATAAGTGAATAGACAGAAAGAATGAACTTTTATAGCTTACAGATTTGGTTCAGGATATAAATGTACTGAACAGATTTTTCTTACTCCAAACTGCAGAAGCTTAATTTTATTTTTATATTTATTTACATTTCAATAATATGGGTCAAGCATGTCACTCAAAACATAGAAATGATATAGACAGTGAAAGTTTCATATAATATGATTATATTTTAGTGCAGAGATTAAATGTATGGCTCCCTAATGGTAAAATCAAAAATGAGTTCCTATATTACTAACTTTGCTGCATATACTCATTTAAATTCAGTAATTATTTTGTGAAATTAAAATTGCCTTGAAAATTATTTAAAGCTTCAGAAAAAAGTTTTCTATTCTCTCCTACTCTTTCAAAAGCATTTTTTCCTAACTGTAATGATATCCATTAGGGAAACTCAAGGCTTTGCTGCTACTAATTTCCTATACTTCTTAGAAGTATAGGGAAGAGACAGCAGATATAGTGGTGCAAGCTGGAGCCTCTGCTACTGGGAAGGCTGAGGCTGGTAAATGGCTTGGGTTTGGGAGATCTAAGCTACGATAAGTAGGGCTAACACAGATCAGGTATTCACACTAAGTCCAGATCAATATCATGAGTGCCTGGGAACAGAGGGCCAACAGGATCACTAAGAAGAGTCAAAATCACACAGGTCTGAAAAATGGAGCAGGTTAAAGCTTCCATGCTAATCAGCACTGGGACTGGACTTATGAGTAGCTGCTACAGTTCCAGCTTGGGCAAGATAAAGAGACCCATTCTCCCCCTAAACAGTCCAGAAAAGTTCTTACTGATATTTTAAAAAGAAAAGTGCACCAGTAGAAGAACCTGGGAACTCATCCTGTCACCTTCCCCACTTGAATTCTGCTGTACTTCACAAAAGATATTGCATATGTCATCAGAAGAGAACCTCTAAGTAGGCTGGTACATCTTTCAGTTTGTGCCTACTGTATAAAAGGCGGCATATACACACAACGGCAATATGGAAATTAGAGCCATTAAATTTTCATGCCTGATTTTCTAAATATTTTTCTAGTATATGTGGATTTTACCCTTCATAACATAATAGGAAAGCCAATGCCCTCTCCAATAGCATTTTCCCTATTTAAGTAGTCTACATAGTCTATATCTCAGTAGTATAACTAGCCCAAGAAGAAAATAAAGACTTTTTAAAGTACATCTACTCATTACACAATAAATGATCCTACTCAAAAATTTCATCTGATATTTCAGAAAATTCAATGATTAAAATCTTACATAAAACAAGAAATTTTCTTGCCTAAAATGACATTATCTTGTTTTGTTTAATGTTTAACTATCTTTATGATATTGTAGGACTTGTTACATTTAAACATTAACTAAATATTCATAACAAAAAACTTCCTCAATTTTATTTTTTCAGTTACATAAAAAAAAACTGGAACAGAAGTTCCCAGGATACCACCTCATAAAAACTCATTTACGGTTTCAAAATTCATAATATGAAATAGCTGCAATATGTATAATAAGGTAAAAGGTCTTGCTATACAATTTCTGTGAACATTACATACATTTTTTATTTCCTACAAATGTATAGATGTACATTTGTTATACTTCATCACAATTTTATCATTACAATGAAAAAAGAGCCGGATGTGTTCTAAAGAACACGTTTTCCCACATTGGTATTTGTTTTCCTCATTCAAACAATACTGGTCAATAATCCAGCATCCTACTTTTCTCTAAGTCCATGTGGAACACACACCTTGGCTCTATTTCCACTTCAGTTCCCCATAAGGGCAGGAGCCAAACATGCCAGAGACCATATGTTTCATTTCAATAAGGGATGGGGAAATTGAACTCTTATTAAGAGATGGAAGAGAAGATAAAGTATAGAAACAAAGACTTCATATCTACAGAACCACTTGGAGCAAGGATTAGACTTGCGCAGGCTATCCACAACTAAAATGACATGTTCATTGTCTGTTCTAGCAGGTAACATGAGCTGATGTCACGTCTCTTTTTAAGCAGGGTCATTAAGTGCTTTGCAAAATTATAGCAATTATTGTATTAGGGGGAACATATCAATATCAAATGTAAGATCTTCACAGAACTCTGACAGTAAACAGACTGAATATAACCTAGGTCTACTCAATTTTTAAAAATGAAATTAAAGTTTTTTTTAAAAGTCAGTCTAAATTCATGCCAATTTAAATTAGGTCCTCATCAACATAATTATAAAACATTCTTTATACAGATAAAGTTGGATTAATTCTTCGTGGGTAGGCAAGACCAATATAATAAAAACGACCATTTTATCTAACTAATCTATTTATTCAATGTCATCCCAATTAAATTACTAAACATTATTTTGCTGAGTTAGGAAAAAAATAACAAAATTCATTTGGAAGAAGACAGTGTCAAAAATTTTAAAGAAACTAATAAAAAATGTAAAGGAAGGAAGTTAGGTAGTATCAGACCTCAAGCTGTATTACAAAGCAGTAAATAGCAAAACCATCTGAGGCTAAGAAATAGAGGGGTAGATCAGTGGAACACAGCAGACATACAAAACATAGCAGTGAAGGATTATAGTAACCTTGTGTCTGACAAATGTAAAGATTTAATTTTGGGGGATAAGAATTCATTATTTGGTAAAAAATTGTTGGGAAAGCTGGAAAGCAGTTTGGGCAGAAATTGACACTAGACCAATATCTTAAAACCACGTACGAAGATAAGGTCAAAATGGATACATGATCTAGATATAAAGGGATATATCACAAGAAAATAGAAGAACATGGAACATATTACTTATCAGAATCACAAACAGGCAAACAATTTATGAATAAACAAGATAAGAGAGCACTGTGAGGTGTAAACTCAATAATTTTGATTATATTAAATTGAAAAGTTCTTGTACAAATAAAACCAAGTGGCCAACATTAGAAGGAAAGCAGAAAATTGGGGGAAAAATTTCATAAACAGTTTCTTAGATAAAGATCTCATTTCTCAAATAAATAAAGAACTTTGTCAAATTTATAAGAATATGAGTCATCCCCCAATTAATAAATGGTCAAAGGATATGATGAGGCAGTTTTTTGATGAAGAAATCAAAACTATATATAGTCACATGAAAAAATGCTCTAAATCATTACTGATAAGAGAAATGCAAATTAATACAACTTTGAGATATCATCTTATACCTATCAGATTGGTTAAAGTGATAGATAACCTTCAATTGGGGAATGGCTAAACTAGTTGTGATATACAATCATGATGGAATACTACTGCGCTTCAAGAAATGATGAGCTGGTTGATTTTGCAAAAACATGGAAATACAAAAGACTTCACCTCCGGAGAAAGAACTTTGTATATATATATATATGAGTACATATATATATTCACACACACACCTATGTGTATGTATATAGGTATGTGTGTGTGTATATATATCTTTGTGTTCAGTTGTAGCCTTCTCTAAGGCAAAGTGGAGAGAGAGGGAGAAAAAGAAAGTGCACAGCAGAGAACAAAAGAAAACTTAGCAGAAAGCACAGAAAAGCTGGATAGCTTTGAAAAGAATGTATAGTATTTATTATATAGTTGGTTTTTTTTAAAGTAAACAGTCTGAAATAGAAATTTACAGTTTTGTGTTGAGTCCTCTCTTTACGTTTTGCTGTATACATGAAAACATTCTTTTTTTAAAATAGTTTTGTATTTATAAGGTTAAAATGAATAACAAAATTTTTTTTTAAAAATGAACTAGGTCCTCACTACTACCCTAACATTCATCTTTAGTTGACTGTCTCACATTCCCAGCAGCAACTCTTCAAAGGCTTCTTCATTCTCTTCTTTCTTCCTTTTTTTCAATTTGGGGAAATGCTCTCACCTTTTAACCTACTGAGATAAAGTACACATTTGCCCCACACCCCAAATTTCCAAATATATTAAGTTCGTCAATCTTTCCTCTCTTCGGTCTCTAAATCTATCTCGATCTACATTTATTCTTTCTTCCTTTTACATTCTGAATAGTTACAAGGCAAATTCTTTCATCTTTATCCTGGACCACATCACCCTCTCTGCCTCCTCTGTGACCCTTCCTTACTCCTTAAATTATTCCTTCCTACGTTCAGAATCTCCAATCTCTAATTTCTACCTCTTCATTGGCCTTTGTGCCTCTACATTCAAATGGGCACAGGTTTCCTCTATCTTGAAAACTTCTTTCTTTATTGTCTGCTCCTCCTAATAACCATTTTATTTATTTTCCCTATTATGTATTGACAGAGATTGTGAAGGTAGAAATGACAACACTTGAAAATAGATTAGATATTTGGGGTTAGTGTAGGGAGAGCATAACACCAAGGTTGTGAAGTAAGAGGTGACTGAGAGGATGATGGTGCCCTCTACATTAAGGGGAAATTCAGAAAAAGGGTGGGTTTGAATGGGAAAATCACCAATTCTGTTTTGGACATGGTGAGTTTGACAAGTCTCTGTGACACATAGTTTGAAATTCCCAAAGGAAGTTGGTGAGGAAGGACTGGAGGTGAGGAGAAAGACCAGGACTTGATATATAGATTTGGGAGTTATCAACATAAAGGGACTGAGTCCACAGGAGCTGATGATATCACTGAGAGTGGAAAGAGAAATGAGAAGAACCAGAGTCTTTGAGTATGCTCAATTAGTGAGTGTGACAAAGATGATGAATCAGCAAAAGGAGATGAGAAAGAGTGGATGGATGGGTAGGAAGAGAACCAGAAGACAGAAGTTTCCTAAAAACCCTGAAAGGAAAGAGCATCCATGAGGACAGGAAGGTCTACAATGTCAGATGATGCAGAAGTCAAGGAAGATGAAGAGTGGGGAGTAGCCATTAAATCTAGAGGCTAAGAGATCACTGATAATTCTGGAGGGAGCAATTTCAATTGAATGATAAAGCTGGAAACCATTTTTCAAGGGATAAAGAAGAGAATGAGAAGAGGGGAAACTGAGGTACCAAATATAGATGGTTTTTCAAAAAGTTTAGCCGAGAAAAGCAAGAGGATATAGGAAGGCAGTTAGATGGATTAGAAGAATACTGAAGTTTTTTGAAGATGAGGGAGACTTGAAAGTGTTAGTAGGAAGAAGGAGAAGAAACAGTTGAGATGAAAGAGAGGGAAGTTTCACAGTAGGAGTAATCTGCTCAAGAAGGTGGGGATGGGTAGGAACAACAGTACACAAGGCTGGCCTTAGAAGGACCACCTCTTCATCAGAGCCTGGAGTAAAGGAGGAAATGGGAGATGATGTCATGGAGGTATGAGATTAGGAGAAGAGAAAAGAGGGAGTTCTTAAGGGACAGCCTTGATATTTTCAATAAAACATGAGACAAAAGCTTCTGTTGAGAGGGACGGGGAAAGAGTGCAGTTAAGACGAATGAGAAGAGAAGGCCTGGAATAGGCACTGGGGAGAGTGAGATGAAGAATCAATTGGGCAATAGGAAATGGGCCACCTTGCTAAACAGAGAACTAAGTTGAAGTTAGATAACCTAATTTCTAGTGGACTTAGTCAGCCTGGTTTCAGGACTTGCTCTAGTATCACTCAACAGCACCTGTAAGGGCACAGAGGAGGTGAGAGGTGGAAATAACCAGGGTTTGGGATCTGTCAAGGAGTGCGTTGGGAGCACAAGGGATAAGGGAGCACAAGGTCTGAGGAGAGTGAAGCAAAGAACTGGTTCACTAAATATAGAAAGGAGAATGTAGTAAGGGCTAGGATGGTGATCTGGTATAATACTAGGGGCTGGAGAGACTGCAGGACAGGTTTGACAAGAGTGAGGCATAAGGAAGCAGAAGGGAATAATAAGTTATGATCAGACAAAGGAATTTCCGAGTTCTTCAGTCACGGCGGCAGAACACTTATGGGCAATGGCATGATCAACCCTCCGCTTATAGTTGAGACAGAGGGAAGGAATAGGTCATGGGAGCTGAGCAGACTGAGGAACTGTGAAGCCAGGGTACTTAAGGGAACACTCAATTATATGCTGAAGTCTCTTGGTATGAAAGCAAGACTTGAGATGGAGAGGAATACCGTGAGCCCAGCACTGAACCTACTGAGAAAATTGTGAGAGTGTCCTACAGGGTCAACACATAACAGCTGCCAGGATCTGGATGCAGTAATGAATCTGGACAGAATGAACCTCAAAGGAGGAACAGTTACTGAGCAATGGTAGGAGAGGGAAAAACCTGGGAGTGGCATTAAGGAGCAAGGAGTTTTGTGACTGCCAGACTTGGACCAGTGAGTCAGGAGGTATAAGATTGTTATTTGTGTTCAGTTGTGTCTGACTCTCTGCGATCTCATTTGGGATCTTCTTGGCAAAGATACTGGAGTGGCTTGCCATTTCCTTCTCCAGCTCATTTTACAGATGAGGAAACTGAGGCAAACAGGGTTAAGTGACTTGCCTAGGATCACACAGCTAGTGTCTGAGATTGGACTTGAACTCAGGAAGACGAGTCTTCCCAACTCCCAGCCCAGCACTCTATCCACTGTGCCACCTAACTGCCCTAGGGATGAGACAAAGTACAGCAAATACAAGAAATGAAGGCTTAAGATGAGGTGATATCTGTCATCTCTTCTTCAGCAGTCTGGGACTCAGTATCAATAAGGATGGTGGGCAAGAGTGTGCTAACCATTTAAGCACAAGTATGGATAGAGTAACAGTGGTGAGGAGGACCCTCCACTGATGAAGGATGCTAGAACAGGAAGCTGTGACTTTGGCAGCAGGAAGAAACCAGTAAGAGACAGAATGAGACACAGGCCTTCATGCATGGCCATGTTTTGCTTGATTATGCTTATTTGTTACAAGGTAGGGCTTCACTGGTGGGAAAGAGAGGATAACAAAAGATGGGGGTGGAAGAAGCCAGTGATAGTAATCCATCCCCCTCAAGAAAGTATCAATGAACATTTTTAAAAAATTCACGGAACAGAAATTCAGAGAGAGACAAGGCAGCTTTGGAACTAATGTGTTTGAATTTATTACATACATTTAAAAAAAAAGCTTAATGGAATGGGTTTGGTGTTTTTCAGATATTCAGAACAAAAATTAAAATCCTTAAAAAAAAATCTAACCCAGAAAACCTCTCCTGACCTTCCTAATTCCGCCAACAGTGCCATCATTTTTTCCAGTCAGCCAGGAACAAAATCTTGGCTCTTCCTTCACTCTCATTTCTAATTCCTAATCAGTCACCAAGTCATTTTGAATTTGTATACAGATGCTCTGGCTCTTATTTAATCTCCTCCCGTGCTTCAACTAAAAAAATTAAAAAGCTAAAAGACATATGTGACTCCCTCCACTCCTTCACAGAGGTGAGAGGGTCTAATGGTATGGAACACTGCCTAATTCAGGTTTTTTTCTGATGCACTGACTTTACTGATTTTTTTTCTCTTTTTTCCATTTTTAAAAAAATTCTTTGTTACTAGGAATGTATCTCTGAGAAGAAGAGGGTTTTTTTTTTGTCCCCACACAAAACATATTTCTATATCAACAATGTTGCAAAAGAAAACACATACAAAAAAAGAAGGAAAAGAAAAACAAAAAAAAAAGAAAGTTTAAAAAGTATGCTTTGATCTGCACTCAGATGCCATCAGCTTTTTCTCTAAAGATGGATAGCATTTTTCATATAAGTCCTTCAGAACTGTCTTGGCTCATTGATCAGAACAGCTAAATCAATCATAGTTGATCACTCTACAATACTGCTATTACTGTGTACGATATTCTCCTGGTTCTGCTCACTTCACTTTGCATCAGTTCACATGTGTCTTTCTATGTTTTTTGAAATTTTCCTGATCATCATTTCTTAGAGCACAATAGTATTTCATCACAATCATATGGTACATATATTACAACTTGTTCAGAAATTCCCCAATTTCCAATTCTATGCCACCACAAAAAGAGTTGCTATAAATATTTTTGTGCATATAGGTCCTTTTCCTTTTTCTTTGATCTCTTTGGGATACAGACCTAAGTAGTGGTACTGCTAGGTCAATTTTACAGCCCTTTGGGCATATTCCAAATTGCTCTCCAGAGTTGTTGGATCAATTCACAACTCCACCAAGAATGCATTAGTGTCCTAGTTTTTCTACATCCCCTCCAACAACTGCCATTTCCCTTTTATATCATATTAGCCAATCTGATAGGTGTGGGATAGTACCTCAGAATTATTTTAATTTGCATTTCTCTAATCCATAGTGATTTAGAGCATTTTTTTCATATGACTATAGATAGCTTTGATTTCTTCTTCTGAAAACCACCTGTTCAAATCCTTTGACCATTTGTCAACTGGGGAAGGAAGTAAAAGAGTTAAAAAGATTGTCCTGCTTCAGTGAAAGCTCAGATGAGGTTAGATTACACACTTGTAGGGCACTCAATCATCATGGTCATGTGACTTCTACTACTGTTCAGCAGCATGTGATTAGGAACACAGAGGGAAGACTGTAGGAATAATAATTCAAGGTATGGGCTTGGCAAGTAATGAGCAGTCACAGGACAGGGAGTTTGAGTATAGAGGTTAGTGAATAGCTGAACTAATAAACATATTCTTAAACCAAATGAACACATATATGGTTTGCTTAATTTCTAACATGAGGTATCTTGCTTGCAAACACAAAATCAGTTAGAACTCAACTCTGGGCAGTTTTTACTAGACCAATACCTTAAAATATGAAAGCGAATCAAACATTTCTTCAATTTGCTCTGAAGACTGAACAGAAGATGAGGTTGAATGAGATGAATTCAGAGAATCCTTCTTCATGGTCTTAAAACGAGCATTCAAGAAATCCTCATACTAGCAAAAGAACACAAAGGCTAATAAATTGTAAGAAATGAAGAGTTAATACAGTCAAAGATATTTTCCAATTTAAGCAAAGTTCACAATGGAAATGAAAGATGTTTGAGCCTTTCTCTTTTTTCCTGATTCACCTGAAAAAGTAATTCTCTCTGCTTATCAAAATGGTCATACTGACTTTTTTTTATTTACCTATATATACCAATCTCTCTCTCTCTCTCTCTCTCTTTCTCTCTGTCTCTGTCTCTCTCTTTCTCTCTTTTTCAATATTATGATTACCCAACTAGGGGAGGGAAAGCAATTTTTCTAGGTAAAATTCTCCTGTGAACCAAGTGTGCTTCAGGGCACAAATGTTTCTTACAGAAACATGCCAATTACTGGAACATTTTATCCACCTCAGCCCTGACAAAATAACCTGTTATGTTACCCAAATTTTGGCTTCTTCTTTCTGCTTTTCCAATGAACAAAAACCTAGTTGTCTATACTGAAATGAAATTGGATCATAGGACCATAAATTTAAAGTGAAAGGGGCTCTTAGACATCATTAAGTTCAAATGTTTTTAGAGCTAGAGAAAGTGACTTGTTCCAAATCGTATAGGTAATGGCAGAGTCAAGATCTGAACCCAGAGAAAAAGAAATAAAAATAAAACATGAAATCAGAAAAGTAGAAATAAAAGCAGACATGGAAAAAGATCAAACTCCGAAAAGTTCAGTTAGAATTGTCAGCTAGAAAATTCATATCATATAACTGAGTAGAATTAAAAACACTCTAAGGAATTTGACTTGGTGGTACCCTTTCCCCATCATTGTCATCATCTACTGGCTCCCAGCTTACTTTTCCCATGATTTCTATAGCTGGTTGATGACTTTCCTCTCTACCCATCCCTTTGCCAACATCCTCAGGCACCTTTAACACCTCTAACAAGATGGATACAAAATTCCTGGGCACACCTTGGAATTCATCATCTCAGAATTGCTCCTCCAAGATCTAGACTCTGAAATTCTAGTCCCGAATGACAATTTTTGTTTTTCCATCATCTCTCTAATCTAACTCTCCACCCTTATTATGACCTCCCTTCCTGTGACCTGCTCTTATTCTCTTCTGTCTATCTTGCTTAGATTTCACTCAAAGGCATCCCTTATCAAGTTTCTCTAGCTCTTGCCTTAGAATTTCTTATCACTAATGTGTTGCCCCCACACCCAACCTTTGCAGTAGCTTCTATTCAGAATTGTGGTGATTCTGTTCTGTAATTCAACAAACATTTCTTGAACACTTCCCTCCCATAGCAACTGTCCAGTAGTATTGCCAGGTGCCATGAAAGATAAAACAGATAAATAAGACAGTCCCTGAAGCCCACACTTGAGTCCAAAGGCTGAACTGTATAGAATCTGGCTTCAAGAGAGGAGTCAGAATAGACCACCAAGCAAAGAAAGAGGGCAAACAGTTTCTTCCTGGTGAAACCAAAAATACTGCCACCATGGGCCAAAAACCTGCAAAGATATTTTTGAGGTTCAGGTAGTGAAGAGTTTCATCCCAGTGAGAGTGGGGGGCCAGGAGAGAAGGTAGGAAGGACTTAAAACTAGAACAGAGTACCAAACTTAAATATTTTATTTGTATATGCTTAAAACTGCTTCTTAAATTTAATTTTCAAATACAATTATGTTGTAAAAAATGACATAGAAGCATATTTCATTATTCTCTTCTCAAGGGTCCTTGTTATAAGGATTTAAAGAAGAAAAAAACTCCTCAAAACAAGAAATACTCTACGTGAAATAAGTAGCTCTCCCCTAAAAGCAAACATTGAATGCTTTTTAAAAATTTGTATATTGCATATGCTTCTTGACTAAAGCAAGGCATTACCGTTACAAATAAAGTAAATTATTTTGATTAAGAATGAGTTTCTTCCATCATTCAAAATAATCTAAGGTGTGCAGCCTGACTGAATAGGACTTAACACCTCAGAGTACTATGCTTTATTTGGAGTACATTTTCCTAATGTTATCCAAGTCAATAATCCTTCAGAAACACTTGAGATAAGATTATAAAGGTGAGTCACACAAAAAATAGGTATATTTCATCTCGCTACAACTGAATAATGTTTTTCAAAATATGAGCCAAGACGGACACCAAGTTACAATATGTGGTTTGTACCTAGTAGAGTCAGTCATTTAGCCAGAGCGCTGTACATACCTACCTACCACTGTACATATTTCTGCTGTTGTTGTTCAGTCGTGTCCAGCTCTACGTGACCCCAAAGACACTGTCCAGGGTTTTTTTGTTTTCTTTTTTTTGGCAAAGATACTGGAGTCATTTGCCACTTCCTTCCCCAGTGTGTTGCCATTTTATAGATGACGAACTGAGGCAATCAGGGGTGAAGCGAGTTGCCCAGGGTCACACAGCTAGTAAGTGTCTGAGACTGGATTTGAATTGTACATATACCCACTATGATAACGGACATGCCATATTTTATGTTTAATATTTACCTCTTGTATTCTTTTAGTTTCTTTCTCTCTCTCTCTCTCACACACACACACACACACACACACACACAAACGGTAACTCTGTCTCTCCCAAAATTATCTTAAAAAAAAAAAGCCTTTTAAAATTTATTTAACCAAATTCCCCAAACAATTGGAGGAACTGAATGATAGGTTTTAGACCTGGAAAAAACTGCAGAAATCACTTTAAACCCCTCAGTTTTAGGTGAGGAAACCTAAAAGGTAAAACAATTTGTCCTAGGTCATAGATAGCAAGAAATGTTGGAAAAAGCTGTAAAGCTATTTACTGCTATATACCCATGACAAAATTTTAAAATGCATAAGATACACAAATATATCATTACTACATTCTATAATATATCCATGCTAGCACTAAAGTTTATTTCTACAAAAAGATGAAACTGACACACAAAATCAAAATTTACCATTTTGAACCTAAAGACATACAATCTGGCAGCAATTAACAACTTTCAAAAACTATTTAAGTCTCCCAAATGACTTGGACATATGGTACAGACACAACAAATTTAACATAAAATCTCCATTAAGCCCAAGAATAGTACTTACACTTGCTAACTGTGTGAAATTTTTGCTCAAGGAGAAATACTCCATGAAAGTAGCAAATCCTTCATTCAGCCAAAGATCATTCCACCACTGCATAGTTACCAGGTTGCCAAACCACTAAGAGGAAAAACAGAACACAAGCAAAGAGCTGATTGGCAAAATATATGTGTTCTCAGAAAATTTCTAAGAATCTGAAATAAGAAGAACATTTCTGACATATAATTAGATTATTTGTTACAGGGAAATATTAGTTGGGGTAGAGAGAGTATATTCTGATGCTTTATGAAAAAGGGAATACTATAGATAAAATATTATCAATAGGTAGGGTGGGGGAAAAGAGTAAATGAAACTAAATAAAGAAAAGTGGTGGAGACAGAGGGAGTAACTAAGTAATGATGACATTTTAAGTGCTGAGATTCATTTATGTAAATGTAATAGTGGCAAAACAAGTTTAATGGTTGGAATGATGCTTAATATTAATTTTATAATAAATCATTAAAGATAAAAATTTCCTCATCTGTAAAATGGGGATAATAATAGCACCTACCTCCCTGGGCTGATATGAGGATCAAATGAGATAATATTTACAAAACATTTAGCACAGAATATGGCAGGCAGAATATGTAGGTGCTATATAAATGCTAGCTATGATTATTATTATTACAAAATACGACAGGATTCTGTGCTCAAATGCACAGAAATACAAACAGAATTAATTACATCCAAAATAAACATTAAGAGAATTACTGAAGTGATCTAAATTTACTTTTAAAATGCAACATTTGAAAACCACTGACTGGGAGAAGAGATGAATGATTTTCTGCCTAACATGTTTTATACTGTATGAAGAAAAATATCTTACATTTCAACTTTATTTGTGATTTTTTTACACTCTAAAAATTCTCCTTATTTCCCTATCATGTTCTATAAACTGAATAAATTTGATAATACTTTTCCACTGCTTCACCTTCTGATAGGCCAGTGATTTTCCAGGTAGAGATGAACAAATAGATAAATATCTCTCTATTGTATTTAACAGCATGATATAACAGCAAAAGCATTAGGTTTATAGTCAGAGAGCCTGAATTTGAATTCCTTTTCCACTACTTATTACCCATCTGTGAAATCTCAAGTAAGTCATTTCCCTTCTGCAGCTGAGGTGGTCAACCTAAATGAACCGGCCCTACCTAAATCCTTTGTACTAGAGTTTATGTGTATATCATACTCCCTTTCCCTTAAGACTGGAAAGTCCCTCCATGAGAGCAGGGACTCTGTCACATATATAACCTCTGTGTCTCCTTCAGCATTACTGTATATTATGCAATCGTGTATACCAGTGAATAAGTCGTGCAACCAGTGAATTGGTTCGGTGAACTGACTAAACGGACCAATTAGCATTTATACTGATTGCCTAGATGAGAGATTTTTTCTTCCTCATTCCTGGTGGGGGGGAAAAAAGAACCTAAGTCTTCAGGTTTTTTCTAAGTTGCCTGAGTTACAGATAGTTTATAGGATTAAAAATGAATATTCCTGCAAAAAATGGCACATATATAAAAGGCCAAATTTAAGAACTCTTTAGTCCTCTCTTCATGTATTTCTCTCATTAGGTGAGAGGGAAGGAGGGAAAATAATCATAGGAAATACTTAGTGAGGCAGGAGAAAGAGCATATAGGCCAAACAGACTCTCTTAATAAGCAAGCAAATCTACCACCACTAATGGCTATTTGTAAATACACATCTCACCTACAAAGGTTTTCAAATTGTTTCCCATAGAAGTACAGATGTCAGTGAGGCATTTCTAGGGATTTCTTATACCAGTAGGATCAAGGTTTAGAACATGACATAATTAGTGCCTTCTCTAAGGTTGCCCCAACAATGCAACAAGGGATTGGAGGTATAGGAAATTAGGCCTGAGAAATATGAACAAAGATGTCATGTGTTCAATTTTATAATGTAGATTTTTGTGCAGGTACAAGTTGAACTAGATGGCCTCTGAACGATCTAATTCTGAAATTCTGTAGTTATTTATTACATTTGTTAAGTGCTTACTATGTGGAAGGTGCTATTAAGTAATGACATAGTCCCTACCTTCAAGGAGTTTACATTCTAAAAGAGGGATACAACCACCATAGATAAATACGAAGTATACTCAAATAGATTTGTGATTTCATCAAACTTGATGTTCCTTCCAACAATGCAAATGGAAATCCATTCATTCTTTTTTTTTTTTTTTTTTTAAGGCAATTGGGGTTAAGTGACTTGCCCAGGCTCACACAGCTACTAAGTTTCATGTGTCCAAGGCCGCATTTGAACTCAGGTACTCCTGAATACAAGGCTGGTGCTCTATCCACTGTGCCACTTAGCTGTCCCGAAATCTATTCATTCTTGACCATCCTGTATGACTCTGGTCCTTCTCTCTGATACGTCTGTCACAGGAAGTTCAGCCAAGAAGCTGAGAGCTTTCCTCAATTGCTCCAAACATCATGAAGAGACTAGTGGTATACACAGTCTATCCAGCTATTATCCCTTGACCTTCCTTTGTTCCAGCCCACTTTATTTTTCACTCATAAATTTTCCTTGGTGTCCTCATTTATTCCTAGTCTTCAAAAATTTGTAAATGTTATGGATTACAGTCTGCACGTGCCCAGAATGTACCTGTTCATTACCTTTATGTGATATCTATTTTTAATTTTTCAGAAAGTGTTTCATTTCATGCCCTTTAGTCATATACTGCCATTGGTGGTATATGGAATATGAACACTGGTATTAAAAAGATTGGGTCTTTGTTTCTGGGATCATTACAGGAGCTTTGCAATTTCCTAACAGAGATCCAGGCCACTCTTTCTGTATAAATTTTGACCTAACTCAGAAATTTTTACTGCTTGTCCCAGATAGTAAATGTGCATGTTACATGTGTATATGTACATTATTTCTCTCTATCTATCTATCTAAAGGGTGTCCATCTAACTGCATATCATATTTTGAGTAATACACATTATTTATATACTTGGCTCTTCCTGTGTGAATGATTAGGCCCCGGTTTCTAAACTGTGTGCTATAACACCCTGGGTTGCAGCAAACTTGCCAGGGCCACCATGGGATATTTACAGTTTGAAACAAACACAGAGACAGTCAACATCTGTTGGATACTGCGAACTACTTGCTTGAAGTAGTTAAGTTTCAACATTAGATCATGCTACATTCCTTTTGATGACATTTGCCAAAGTATGAGACAGGTTTTGGTTTAGTTGTATTTTAGGCTATGCCAATAACGTTTCAAACTTTCTCATTTGCAACATCATCTTTGTTTAGTTGCATTTTCAGTGATTGCTGTGATAAAAAAAAAATATGGTGCAAAAATCAATATAAATGAGGAAATGAGGGTGACTATCTAATCTGATTCCAAGGTTTGAGAAGTTATAAAATGCCCAACAGGCACACATATTCCATTAGTAAGTAATTGCAGTTATTTAAGAATGAAATAAAAAATATTTCCCCAATTTATGAGTATTATTTTTTAAATTGCTACTAAGTTGTCAGGACACAAATACTTGTTAAGTTGTTTGGACCTAAACACTTAATAAACAATTATTGGGTATTTCTTTTGGTCTAGTGACTCCATGAAAAAAATAAGGAGTCTCTAAGGACATCATGAAAGTCTGGGACCCCCCAAGTTAAGCCAAATTTTTTTGAATGATTCCGTATCTCTTCCTGAAGGCTCCACAGATTTGAACTCAGGAAGATGAGTCTTCTTGACTCCAGGCCTGGCACTCCCTCCACTGAACCACTGCCCTAAGTGACACCAGCCTAATTTAGCTGCTTTTCTCATCCCCACTCTCTTTAGTAGCCTTTCTATCTCCTCTACAAGCAAATACAAGGCTGTAATGTTAAATCCAAGTGTGATAGCTTTACTATCCTTTATGTTTAAAACAATTCAATTGGTTTAAAAAAAATCTTTGCAGCTTTTCTTCTACTTGCTGTCTTTCTTCCATTTTCACACTTGATTGGTCTTGGGATGACTTCTGTTAGTAAAATCTTGCCAAGCTATCTTTTAAACTATTTTTACTACCCACAACTCCTCTATTTTATGAGGAAACACTGTAGGTGAGTGATTTTCCATCAATCTTTTCTGTAAAATTTTATAAACCAATTTATATTCTAAAATGGTGTTTCCTTTATGTATCATCTCTCCCCACAGCAAACAAGTAAAACAGCTGCTAACTTCTTTGGCTTTTTTAGCTTCACTATGTAAATTCATTTATTTGAGTTAAATATTTTTATGAAATTATCATAGTCTGCATTTGTGTCTGTTCTTTACTAGTACTGGTAACTTAGTTACTAGTTAGTAACTACAGTTAGTCAGGACTATAGTCAATAGTCAGGACTGAGTTGTTTCAATGAGGCACCTTGTCATATAGCTTTGATCTTTGCCCTAAAAAGTCTGACTAGATGGAGAGTTGATTATGGAATGACTCCCAAATAAGTAATGAGCAATTTCCTATCTGCTAAAATATAATCAGTCTCATTTTCCATGTCCAGGACCTACCAATTCTTTTCCCGAAAAAAAGACTCCTGATATGTAACTTCAGGCATCTGTGTAGTCTACAAGTGTCTGTCTGGCTTCTGTCACTCCTTATTCCTGCTTCATATATTCTAATATACCTTTTGCTCTTCACTTTTTCTTATAGTCAGAATCACCAAATATCTATCTATCTATCTATCTATCTATATATATATGAAATTTTAATTTGGGAAGTTTCATTGAGTTCTTTACGGAACTTCTCTACTTTTTCATCCTCTGCAGTGGATGTTGGTACATACACTGCAATTATTTTCATAGTGATCTCTTTGCAAATACTTATCATAAACTATAATACAAAAATGAGCAAATATTCCATGAAATGTTCACCTATGATTCTATGTTGTTTCTTGATGCTAATTGATTGTGTGCTAAAATTAATTCTGACAATTCCTCTCCCCCCCAAAAAAAACCCAAAAACAAACAAAACTGTGGGCTATCCAAAAGCAACCAGTGGTACAGTGAATAAAGCACTGAGTTTGGAGTCAGGAAATCCCAAGTTCAAATTTTGCCTCAGACACTTACGTGTTGTAGGATTCTGGGAAACTCATTTAATCTCACTCAGCCCATTTCTTCAGCAGTAAAATGAGGTGGTTGGGTTCACTGGCCTTTAAAGTCCTTTCCTAATCTTAATTTATGATCCCTCCATTTAGCAGCAAATTCTTTTTTTATTAATTTCATTTACAGTTAGAGTGTTTGACAAGATATTGCTTAAAAATTCTGCATGTAGATTCATTACTGATAGTGGTCTATAGTTCTCATAATTATCATAAATAATTATTAATTGTTTCTTTCATTTCTTTTATTACTTTATTCTCTCTGGTTTGGGTACAAAACTATGATTGTTGAATAAATAGAACTTAGGTGAGTCCCACTCTCTTACTTTTTCAGAATAATTTACGTAATATTGGTATTAATTGTTCTTTAAAGGATTAATAATATTTTCCTGTAAATCCATCAAGATCAGGATTTTAATAGCTAGTTTGAATTCGTTTTCTGAGATTGGATTAATTAAGTTCTCTATTTGGCACTCTATTATTTTGAGTATCTTACATTTTTTTAGGATAACCTTTTATGGTTTTTAAGTATTAGTACAAATTTTAAGTATTCCCAATATTGTTAGTATTTAACTGTGCACTGTTTTGATAATTTTTAATTTAATTCTGGTTTTGCTGTGATCTTACCTTGTTCATTTGTTATTTGTTCATCTGATTACTCACTCTCTTCCTTAAAACTGGTTTGGCTCAAGGTTTATGCATTTTGTAATTCCCTAGTGATTCCATTCAGAAGATGCCATAAGTCTTTTTAGCTCTAATTTCTCCAGCAATTTGTTTAATTCTTTATTTTCCCTTTTGTTGATCTTTCTATTAGATTTATCCAACTCTGTGAGAGGAACATTAAAGTCTCCTACTATTTTTATTACTAGCTATGTCTTTTTAAAATATGATGTCAAGATTGATATAATTTAGTTCCTCCAGTAGTCACCGAACAAGGATCTCTGATTTAGAGCACTATCAAGTTAAAATTCATATACAATTTAAAAAGATGTGATTCTTAGTTCCCTCTGTTCCCTTTTCTTTTTATTAAAAAATAAGTTCTCACTGATGTCTTGTTTCTTATATCATCATAGTTACCCCTGATCTCCTTCTCCCACCCTTCCCCAAAGAACCATCCCATATAACAAAGTATTTTTTTTAAAGAGAAAAAAAATCAGCACAACTGATCAATAAGTTGAAAAAGTTTGAAAACATGTACAATGTGTAACACCTATGGATCTCCTACTTCCATGAAAGGATGTTTTGGAGGTGTATTCTCATATCTCTTTGAGTCTTGCTTGACCTTTATAATTTTGTTACATTGGTGTATGGTTTTTCTTTCTCTTTACATTGTTGTAGTTATTATGTATGTTGTTTTCTTGGCTCTGCTTACGTCACTCTGCATCAATTCATAGAGATCTTTGCATGCTTCACTGTATTCCTCACACACACTGTTTCTTACAACATGGTAGTATTTATTACATTCATGTGCCACAATTTGTTTTGCCGTTTCCCAACTGATGGGCTTCTACTTTATTCCACAACCCTTCAAATATTGACTATTGTCATCTTTTGTCAACTTTGTCAATTTGCTGGGTGTAAGGTAAAACCTCAGGGTTGTTTGATTTACATTACTGTTTTTATTGGTGATCTAGATCATTCTTTCATGTGATTATAAATACTTTGAAATTCTTTTGGGAACTGTTTGGTTACATCCATTGGCCACTATCTATGGTGACATGGTTAATCTTATGTGTATGTGTGTGCGTATATGTGTGTGTGTGTATATACATATATTCATTCATTCATTGTTTATATTCCTTGGATACCAAATGCTTATCAGAAATTTAATATAAAGATTTTTTTTCCCTATATGACCCTGTCCCTTCTTATTCTTAGTGCATTATGTTATCTGTACAGAAGTTTTCTGGTTTCAGGTAATCAAAGGTGTCTACTTCATCTTTTACAATCGTCTCTATCTCTTATTTGGCTAAGAAGATATCTCCTACTCATAGCTGTGAGAGGTATAGGATCTGTTTCTCTTTTAGTTTTTTTATAGTCTCATCAATAATATTAAGGTCCATCTAGAATGTATTGAAGAATATGGTGTCTCTGCTTCATCACTCTACCAATGTCACTAGCAGAAAGAGGCAACACAAGAGTATAGAACATTGTGATGTTTCTTTGGTTCATACAGTGGCAAGACCAAAAAATTTATAACCAAGTGCCCAACCTACTGATGATGAACATCTCCACACTTAGCTAGGTTGGTCTTTGGAGAGTATATTCAGTCTGTTGCTGGGATCATACCTAAAATCTTTCCATCGTGGCAGATTTTCCAAAGCTAGCATTTTTTGGAGAAAAGCAATATGAAAGAAGACTAGGTACAAAAGCAGGAATTAGATTGTAGAGAGCTTTAAATGCCAGGCTAAACAATGTCTATTTTATCCTAGGAGCCACTGAAGAGTTCTGAGTAGGGAAATGAAATGATCAGATTGTGTTTTATGACAATCAATTTGGCACTTATATGAAGGAAATACTGGAGACAGGGGGACCATTGTAATAGTCTAGGCTAGAGTCAATGAGAGCTTGAAATATGATATGGGCATGTTAGCAGAAAAATACACCACAGTGATGATGTAGAGGATGATTGGCAGTTGATTGGATATGTTGGGGTCAGGTGAAGAAGAAGGAGATGAGAAGAAGAGTCAAGATGGTTGACTAGGAAGACGGTGTCGTATTGCCCCTCAACTGAAATAAAGAGGCTTGGAAGAAAGAGGGGTATGGGGAACCATGAGTTGTGTTATGGAGAAAAGCATCAGGTATTGGTTAGAAAGCTAAGTATAAGTTATAGAAACTTCTATTATATACAAAAAGGCCAATTTTTACATTGTAAAACATTATTAGTATTAGGAAACAGATAATAGACATGGAATTTAGTTAAATATTCTAGTTGTAATACCTGGTGGGCCAGTTCATGCGCAATTATTCTCGCAACCAGCTTTCTATCCATCACTGAAGAAGTGTTAATATCATACAAGAGCGTTTCTTCTCGGAAAGTGATCAAACCCCAATTTTCCATAGCTCCAGCTTGAATGTCAGGAATAGCTACCAAATCTTGAAACAAAGAAAAAAAGGTGACCCAGTTTTTTTTTCCCCTGCTTAAATATAGCAACCATTTCTCCTTTCTAATTTAAGTAAAATGCTTTCATCATTGGCTTATCACCACAAAGAAGGCTCTAAGTCTCTTGCTAGAACACTGACACCCCATCCCCTTGCCACCTTCTTACCTTGAGCACAACACTTTCTATCAATCTACCTGGCAGCTGAGAAAGATGGGATCAAAACCCATTTGGAGCTTAGATTTTACGGCTACTTAGCAAAGAAAAGGAAAAAATCCACTTTCTCCAAAAAGGATCATTCTCCAAAGGGGAGGAGGATATAGTTAAGACAGTCTTCTGTCAACCAATATGCAGCTCTTATCAAATAAGTAAGTTTTCTTTCTTTGTAGAAGAGCTACTAGCATGTTACATTTTAATTACTAAGTTTCCAGTAAACAAATTTCAATTTGAAAGTTCAGTTTACGTCTTCAAACTGCCATATATATGTGGGTATCCATATATAGTCGCGCGTGCGCGTATTTGTGTGTATGTGTGCATGTCTACCTCCAATGCCACAATCTTTCAAATTTCCAAGTATCTTAGTTGTGGCATACAATCAGCCTATATCAAGATAGTTATTTAGTAACCATATTCATGTGAAGAATATTTCTGTCATATTTTCTCTTAAGATATGCAGGACATGGGGCAGCTAGGTGGCTCAGTGGATAGAGAACCAGCCCTGAAGTCAGGAAGACCTAAGTTCAAATCCGGCCTCAGACCAAACACTTGACACGTACTAGCTGCGTGACCTTGGGCAAGTCACTTAACCCTGATTGCCTCAGCAAAAAAAAAAAAAAAAGAAAAGAAAAAGAAAAACAGACATGCAGGACACAAATGTAGCTCCCTGACAAACGAATGCTGTAAACTTAAAAGAAGGCAAGGGAAATAGGATGACATTTTTACCTAATTTCTGAAGAGGGTACTTGATTTCAAAATAGTGCTGATAAAATTCAAGAAGCTTCACTGCTGTATCAAGAGCAGATTTGGCTTGGTCAATCTTCTCTGGCACAGTGTAAATGGAAACCTAAAACCAAGTTACAAAGAAACGCTATTTACAACAAAAATTCAAATGTAATTGGAGTAGAAAGGAATTGAAATTTCTCGGTCAAGTCCACAAGTTCAATGGAAAACTGCTCACAGTAATCCTGTACTGGAGAACACACTGTCCTCAAGGTGAGACCTGGAGTCTAGTTCCACCTCCCTTCCGGGACCCTGACCACAGACTCATCATCTATAAAACCCAACAGGGGTTGTACCATCGATCAACGTCAACTAGTGATAACAGGAAAAGAACTGAAGAGATAGTTCCTACCTTCAAGGAGCTTAACTCTACTAGAGGATATAACTTGTTCAAAGATGGGCAAATACAGGATTTGTAGAAAAGAAATGCTCAGTGATTTGGGGGTGGGAGCACTAGTAACTGAGGGAATCAGGAAAACAATCAACAAGCATTTATTAAGCATCCACTATGAGTCAAACACTATGCTAAGCCCTAGAGATATACAGATGATATCCAGGGACATAACATATATACAAAATAGGCACATGTAAAATAAATGTGAGGTAATTGGGTGGGGGGGCACACTTGCAGAAAAGACCTCACGCATTTTGATGGAAACTAGGGATTCTATAAGGCAAAGGTGCATTCTAGGTATGGGGGACAACTTTCGCAAAGTACAGAGATGGGACATACACACATATATGTATGTATATATACATATGGATCATGTATGGAGAACAGCAAGAATGTAAATTTGGCTTGAGATGCCAAACAGAAGAGTTTGTGTTTATCTGGTCCTAGAGGTAGTAAGTATTGACGAGAGAAGGGGGAGGGAGTGAGAAAGGGAGAGAGGGAGAGAGAGAAAGAGGGAAAGAGGGAGAGAGGGAGAGAGAGAGATACAAACAGAGACAGAGAGAGACTGAGAGACAGAGAGAGGAAGTATGGGCGCATGTATATAGGATGAAGTAGAGAGAGACTTAAGACAGGAAGTCAGAAAGTAAGCTCTTACAATAGACCAGATAAGAAGTGATGGAGGAGGGAAGTAGTAAAGAGTAAAAAGGAGTCAGATGTGAGAGATGTGTAGAGGTAAAATTGACAAAACTTGCTCACTGCATGGTTATGTGGGGTGAAGAAGACATTCACACATTTATACACATGGACACATGCACACATGTATACACACACATATATTTCAGACCAGCCTCAATTAGCAGTGTCCTATACATTTTGTAGAAAAAAATCAGATTGAAGTTGTGCTGTGGTTTAATGATTTTTTTTCTTAAATAAGAAACCAAAATCTAGCTGTATGTGTTGGGAATGGTGCCTTATGTTTACAACGTGGCAGTAAATTAGCTAACTAATGAATGGTTGTAAAACTTTATAGTAAAAGACAGTCAACCGATTAGCTAAAGAAAAACCCTACACCTTTACTACAGCGTGAGCCTGTGAAAGGACTGACTCAGCACTTTTGGAAGAAATTCAAATAAACGATCACTATGTAACAAGCATTAATGGCAAATAAAAGTAGATCTTCAAAATAAATTATTAGTCTTTATAAGAGAAGTATAAATAGAATCATAATTAATAAGTCCTTCCTATTTTTCTATAATGTGGAGAAGAGAGATTGATTCACTATGAGTTTTCTGTGCAATATTATAATAGTTTACCAAGTTTCTCTTTTAATCAATTACCTATATCAGATGAACTTTAAATTGTTTGTGTCCAGTTACTACATCAGGTCTATCATAGTCTGTTTAGGTAATAAGATAATAAGCACAAAGTAGAGTGTTTGGGGCATAAGAAATGATTAGAATTCTTAATAATTCACTCATTTGCATTCAAGTAAAACAGGTTTAAAGGCATAAATGAAATAACATACCAGAATTCCATTGGTCTCCTGGGTCATATTCTTCAATTCTCCCACAATGAAGGCAACCAGATATGTACTCATTTTCACACTCTCAAAAAATTCATCCATAATAAGCCTGCCTTCTATTTGAACAGATGATTTCTACAAAACAAAAAAGGGGGGAGGAAGCATAATAGTTATCAGAAAATACAACTGTAGGTGAAGCTGGGTGGTGCAGTGGAAAAAGCACCAGCCCTGGAGTCAGGAGGACCTGAGTTCAACTCCAGCCTCAGACACTTAATAGCTGTGTGACCCTGGGCAAGTCACTTAACCCCGATTGCTGCATTCCCCTTCCCCCCTCAAAAAACCCAAAAACCAACCAACTGTGATAAGTAAATATGAACAGTAAATATGGCAAACCTAAAGTTCATGACCATAATAAAGATGTGAGTATATTTTACATCTGTAAAATTGTAAATTTACATCACAGGTTTAGTGTCTCAGTTTCTTTAATCAATAAAATAATATCATGTGCCAATCTCCTAAGAAATGTACAAGAATTCAAAACAGAAGTGTAGGTTAGTTTATTTTATATTTCATTACAATTAATCAAGTGCTTTCCTCACACACCTTGATGAAATAAGCAGTATAAGTATTATGCCCATTTGACATATAGGGAAGCTTAGGTTTTAGAAAGGTTGTGACATATGCACAGTTATTCAGATAGCAAATGACAAAGCTAAGCCTTGAACTCAGGGCTACTAATGGCAAATCCAGTGCTCTTTCCACCCTACCATGCTACTTCGCCACATGAAGAGTTGAGTACTCCACAAGTTAGTAAAACTCAACTTAACTGGCACAGACACCACTTCAATTTGTATACTGTTTTTTGTTGTTGTTGTTGTTTTTGGTGAGGCAATTGGGGTTAAGTGACTTGCCCAGAGTCACACAGCTAGTGAGTGTTATGTGTCTGAGGCCGGATTTGAACTCAGGTCCTCCTGACTCCTGGGCCGGTGCTCTATTCACTGCGCCACCTAGCTACCCTATACCACTTCAATTTGAAGGCTGAATAAGGAGATGTGGTTATATTGTTGGACACAGAGAGTTAAGAATTCTCCTCCTCCCCCATCCTATAGGAATGAACAATATTGCTGTCTAGTGCCATATGGATTGGACTACTGATTGGATTTCTGATTATAAATTAAGCAAAAGTAGCTACCTAGTAAACAAAGCACAGTTCATACTTCTTAGCTGTTTTATTCTCTTGTTCATCATTTTCAGAAAGTGGGAGTGAATTCCAAAAAATGCATGAAGAGTTCTCTAAAACCTACAAAGTACTATATTAATATATATCTTTTGAATAGATATAAAACACACTAACGGGAATCACAGAATTTCAAAGGTAGAAGGAACCTAAGAGGCCAAAATATAGTCCAATTTGTACTAACCACAAAAACAAAAAAATTTCCTTTACAACACACACAACAAATAATCATCTAGCCTTTTCTCCTAGAAGATCTTAAGTGAAGGGGGAACCCACCATCCCCTGAGAAAGCCCACTCAAATTTTGGATAGCTCTTATTGTCATGAAGTTTTTCCATTAATAAAGACTGGAAACAGCTAGGTGATATACTAGAATTCAGGGGAGATGAACCTGTGAATAGATACAATGCTGGAGCTCTGATTCAGGAAGACCTGAGTTTGAATCCTGCCTTGGACACTTACTAGCTGTCTGAACCTGGGAAAGTCACTTAGCTTCATTCAGCCTGTTTCCTTATCTGCAAAATAAGGAGGTTGGATCGCCTCTTTCAAAGATGGCTCCTAAGTTCTCCAGTTTTCAATACATGACTAAATTTGCTTCGTTGTAACTTCCATTCACTGCTCATAGCTTTATCTGAAGCCAAGAGACTAACTCCTCTTCCAAATCAAAGTCCTTCACCTTAATGATGACAACTACCACATCTCCCTCCTCCTTACCTCCTCTAAGTTTTTTAACATCCAGCTTTCTACGGAATGAATCTGAGGCCCTTCAGTATCCAGAACTTCCTGCTCTGAGAACTCTTCAGGCTAGGAACAAACTTCCTAAAAGTCCCAGAACAGAAACCAATCCTCCAAATATGGTCTGACCGAGACAGAATACAGTGGAATTAGGACATCCATATTCCTGGATGTTCTGTCTCTCCTAATACTAGCTAAGATTACATTAGCTTTCTTGGCTACCATATCATACTGTTGAATTATAATGAACCTATACACTAAAACCATTTTTAGACAAATTATCTAAACCACTCTCTCTCCTTTCTTCCGTTGTCTCATGTAGTACTTGAAAAGTTAGTTTAATGAATCTAAGTGTGCAAAATGACATTTATCCCTATTAAATGTCCTCATGTTTGAGTGAGCCTGATGTTCTAGCATATCAAAATCTTTTTGCATCCTTTTATCCAATGTGTTATTGATTCTTTCCAGCTTTGTAATTTGCAAATCTGAAGCATGTTATGTATGCTTTTATTCAAATCACTGGGAAAAAATGTTAAACAACACAGGGCAAAGCAAAGATTCCTAAGGTACTCCATTAGAAGCTTCCTTCTAGATGACACTAAAACATCAATGATTATTTTTTGAGTCTTGCCATTCAACCTTATGGAATTACCATTTGCCAAAGTTTAGCCCACATATTTCCATTTTTTATACATAAATAGTATAAAAGACTATCAAATCTAGTAACCCTGTTCCCCTTCACACACACCAGCCCCCCCAAAGGAAATTATATTAGTTTAGAATAACCTCTTCTTGTTAAAGCCAGCTGACTCTTAGCAATCGTTGCTTCCTTCTTCTAAATGTTTCTAAACTGTTCATTTATAATACATTTTAGAATTCTGCCAGGAAGTGAAGTTCACTGGCCAAAGAGAAGCAATATTTGTCCAACCCTAATTTTGTGGTCCCCCTTTATGATTTTCCAAGATTGTTGACAATGATTCAGCAACCATATCTACCAGTCTGGTCAAGACCTCAGGATGTATCACTTGGGTGAAGTAACTTGAACTCATCAAAGGTAACTGGAAAAACTAGAAAATAGTCTGGCAGAAAGTAGGCATAGACCAAAATTTCATACTGTATACAAAGATAAGGTCAAAATAAGTACACGATTTAGAGATAGAGGATGATATCTTAAGCAAATTAGGAGAACATGGAAAAAAATTACCTATTACATCCATGGATAGGGGAAGAGTTCATGACCAAACAAGAGATAGAAATGGATAATTTTAATTATATAAAATTAATTTTTTTTGCATAAACCAAACCAATGCAGCCAAAATTAGAAGAAAAGCAGGAAACTTGGGGGATTTTTTTTCAGCAAATCTCCCTAATAAAAGTTTCATTTCCCAAACATATAGGGAACTGAGTCAGATTTATAACAATAAGAGCTACTTCCCAAATGATAAATGATCAAACAATATGAAGAAGATGTCTTCAGAGGAAGAAATCAAATGAGCACAGTAACCTAATGTTTGATAAACCTAAAGATCCCGGCTGTTGAGACAATAACTCATTATTTAGCAAAAACTGATTAAGTTTTGCTTCCTCATTACCTAGGCTTATTCCTTCGACTTCTTTTTCTTATCTTATTGCTATAGCTAGTATTTCTAATACAATAATGAATAATCATGGTGATAATAGACAATCTTGTTGCATCCCTGATCTTACTAAGAAGGCTTCTAATTTATCCTCATTACAATAATGCTTGCTCTTGGTTTTAGACAGACAGTACTTAATCATTTTAAGAAACGCTCCCAAACTTAGATTTTTAAAAGACCAGGACAGAAGACAGAAATAAGGGCAGATAGCAAGAGCATGAATATAAAAGTGTCACAGTCATTTAAAAATAGGACCAGGAACATGTAAACACAGAATGAGCTGAGGTTGGTGAGAAAAAAAAAAGGGAGGGATAACAAAGAGGAGTTTTGTGTCTTTTTTTTTAAGTTGTATAAGGAAAAGAAGATTATCAAAGAAGGAAGTGGGCTGCTGGTCATGGTGGAAAGGATGATGATAACTAGACAGAGAGAAAAGAAAAAAGCCCAATTTTTCTTTTGTTTCTGATTTCTTTGCCAAGGAAAATAATCTATGGACAGAATAAAAATGGCTAATAGCAATTTTATATCCAATATAAGTAAGAAGAAACTAGAGTTAGGGTAACATTTTGCATGACTTCATATGAATAATGGTTATCATATTTCTAGCGTTATCAATGGGTGGGAGGGGGGAGGGCAGAGAGAGAATCTGGCAGTGAAAATAAAAATAATTTTTTTAAAATGTCACCTGATCACACACATTACCTACATGTAATTAATTTCTAAATTTCTGGCTTAGCTGCATGTGTTCCCAGGGTACCTACTTGTATTGTCACCATATGTATAAGATACAAGTATGCTACTCCACATGCCTGACCTGTCACATGCATTCCCTATGTGTACATCCCTCAAGTGTGATCAATATGCATGGCCATTTTCTTTACTGATGGTATATTTAGGGCAAAGTGCCCCAGCTATGACTGAAATGTATCTGGTTACTCTTCTTACTTGGGTAGTTCATTTGTCTTTGCTTTAATCTACATGTCCTTTGATGAATAAAAGTAAACATATTGGTTTAAAAAAAATCTATGTTGGTCGATGAGTTAAGTTTCCTATACATCCACAATGGGCTCCTTAGACAACTCTGCTTATTTCTCCTCAGTGGAGCTGTTTCTTTTTGTGTCCTCAGAATTTCATTCTGGAGAGGCTTCTATCTTGGGATTTACATCCTGTAAAATTTTAGGCCATAAGATTCTATTTATCCTTTCCTAAACTGGGCATTTTTATAAAAAAGACACAAATAAGCTGGACAGTGTTGGTACTACCTATGAAATCAGCTTTTATATGATGTAATCAGTGGCAGAGGTTATTTGTGCCAATATACAAATATATTGCTGCCATACTTCTTGATGATAATTGAATTACTAGTACAAAACTCACGATAAATCTGATAGATGTATAGGTGATAGAGGTGGTCAATACAGGCAAACATGTGCATAACAAAAACCTAGTTATCAGATCTATACAATCAGGTAGTTGACATTCTTATGGGTTTAGGAGTGCTCATTATTAATTCAAGATGGAGTCCATCATGTCAAGAGGGTTCCTATGAAAACAACATTACTACAATCACACACAAACACAAACATGTCAGTGACATATCATGTTTCTTTTGAGTAAAGCATAATCAACCACAGCTACGTTACAGTCATGGATCTCATCCCACCAAGCCTCAGTGATATCTATGAAATAAAATTTATCTCATTGTATATCTATTTAATGTTCTTTAGTCAAACTTTCGTCTTAGACATCTAAGACTTTTTTTTATCAGTAGTTCCTTTCTTGGGTTTTGTCTCCTGTAAATTTCTGGAATCATCTATAAGCTAATCTTCATTTTCCTACATTTTAGCTGTTCTCTATAGTATCCACTTGGGGGAATGTATGTATGCAGTTTTCTTCTTCCATCCCTTCCAGCTTGAAGTTGTTCTGATTAGCTTTACAGAACTCTAAGCAGATGCACTCCATCCTTGTCCCGGAACCCATCATTCCTATAGTTTAAGCCATTTTCCAGACATCCAAACCCTTTCTCAGCAATCATCTTCTTCACCAGCTGTCAACTCCCCAAATCTGTCTCCGTCTTCTAAGTCCCTTATGTTTGATGGGCAGCCATCACTGGCATTCCCAAGAGGGCTTAGGTTTCTTGTCCAAGATTTTGTAATTTCTAGTAATCCTTTCTAGGTTTCTTCTGGCATTATCTTTTGGGTAGCAATCATCCAAGTTGACAAGTCTTTGGAAGTTCTCTGTTAGGTCTTAGGTATATGCTTTGGGAAGGCAATAAACTTCTCTGTTGTTATTATTAGGTTGAAAATAGCTGCTTCAGTACTCTTCAAAGAGGAGTCCCTAGCTAACACTATTTGTCTCTTTTTCCTTTGATTGTTATTTGATAATATCTTACCCTGAAGTACCTATGGATCCACATCATTGTTCCTCGGAGTACAAACAGTTAATTCCTTTTCAGAGTGCCCAGATCCCTTACTTCTTGGCTCCAAACACACTCAGCGGCTCTTCACTCTTCCTTTGTGCTACATCCTTCTCAAGAGATTATTTCAATCAGGTAATAAATGTTTTGTTTCATGGGTTAAAAAAATAAATTATGAGATTCATGACAATTCAGAGAAGGCTGGTCTTACAATCCATACAGGAAAAAAAAAACTTTAAAAATGCCTTTCCAGATTATGCCATGAAGTTGGATGCTCAATCCATTGGATCAGTACACCAGTTCATATCTTTAGGACAGAAACTAAGGAAGGACAATACGTTGGGCCATGAATTAAATGGGAAGATGAGAGTAATCTAGATTCCATTTGGGAAGCTGATCAGTGCTTTTAACAATCCCAATCTTCTCTCCAATGCAAAGACCAGTCTTTTCAACACCGGGAATAATGTATTGTTTCACATTAAGGAACATCAAAATTGTTGAGGAATTAAAATTGGAGATGACCCAAAGGACAATACAGATTTGGGGGCAAATAGGCTGTATTATATCTCTAATGATGACCTCCATTCATGAAGTGCCATAAGGCACATCACTGAGGAAATACACAATTGGAAAAGACAAGGGCTTGTTTATGTAATGAAAATGAGATCAAAGAGAGTACTCTACTGGTTCTGCTTTTTTTTCCACCTTGTATTATTCCAAAAAAATTGTTTCAGTTTTTTATGTTTACTATATTCATTTTTAATTATAAGTTCCTCCCAGCCTTACAAATAATGCTGCTATAAAAAAACTTTGAACAAATTTCTTTTTTTGTTGATATATGATAATGCTTTTAGGTTATATTCCAACAACTAAATTAATGGCTCAAAAGGCATGAATGTTTTTTATAACTTTTACTATGTGCTGCCAGGCTACTCTTCAAATTTTTTTTTTTACAAGTTTGCAAATTTACCAGCAATGAATGAGCGCTCTTGTGGCTATGTGCCATACCCAGAATTGCATATGCATTACTTCTAATTATTTTTTGCCAATTTAATAAAAATGAGATGCTACTTCAGTTGTTTTAATTTATAGCTCTTTGATTATAAGGGTAAGCATTTTTCAAATGATTATTAAAGATGTTTTCATTCCTTTGAAAATTTATTATTTTTTATTATTTATTTATTGTAGATTGGGGTTTTTATGTGATGAATAATTTTTTCTATGTTTTTTCTTTTAAAATATTTTTTACCATTCAAATTTTTTGTAATCCACCATTTACCTTGTCTTTAATAATTCTTTCTATGTGTTAAAAAAAGAAAAAAAGGCAATACCTTCTTCACAAATGAGAGAAGTATATTATTCCAAGGCAGATCTCCACCTTTTAAAACAGCTTTTAAAAAATATTTTAAGTGTCCCATCCAACCAGAATTCACTAAAGCATGTGGTACAGTGTTAAGATACAGGTCTAAATCAATTTCTTGTCAAACTGCTAACCAAATGAACCAAATACATTTTAGAAAATAATAACTCCTTCCTCTGCTTTTTATTTTCTGTAGGTTTACCAACCACTAATCTTCCTGCAAACATTTTAAGTTTCTTAATAGGTTTTCTAAGCAAGAATACAAACATATACTAAGACACTTTAAGTCGTGCCTTCTCATCTAGTAGAGAATGTACAGTTATTCCTTCCATATCATGGGAGTTAGGGGTGTGGCGCCCCCAGGATCTGGAAAATCCACATAAAATTTTTTGGCCCTCCCTTCATATCTGAGAGAAGGGGTCAGAATTTTATGGGGTGTTTACAGTACCTTACTGTAAAATTTGGATTAAGTATTTGGTCATAGGCTCTGTGTCATCTGCTGGCATTCATGTGTCATCTGCAGCTTTCACAAAACTCCAAAAAAATTCCCATTTAATTTCTTAGGCTGACTCATGATATATCGAAACTGCAATGGGGAAAGTCTCAATGTGGAAGGGATAACTGTACTATATTCATTGCCATAGCTGAGATGAAACAAAGCAATGAGAAAGACTCATAAAAAAAGTATTCACATTCAAGGAACAAAACTTTACCTTGGGCATATTTGATAAAGCTGTGTATTGTTCCTCCCTCACAATCTTGATGATAAATGTTGCTTTAAATGCTGGTTCATCAAAACAAGGAAAAGCAGACCTTGCTGCAAGAGGTTCAAACTGAGTTGCTGCAAAGTACCTAAAATAACATGAAAAATGCATGAAAAATATTGCAAACAATAAGGTGTCACCAGCCAGTCTGTGCCACTGTGATTTCACTTTATCAATGGCAAACTCATTATTAATGGTCGAATTTTAAAATCAAGAACCAAAAACCTCAGTGTTCAAATTATACACACTGATCTCTTTTCTTTTTCAACCTGAGATAAACTTAAAAAAAAAAAAAAGTTTTTCTCTCTCCTGCTCCTTTACTGAGACATGTGAGAATTATCTAAGTACTTAGGCCTCATTACTTTTTAAATTTAATTTACTATAAAGGAAGAAAAAATAAGGAAGACAGATTATGTAAAAGACCCCTAAACAAAGAAGACCTAGTGTTAACAGAGCACCTGGACATGTTCGTTCTCTTAGGCTAACTGTGTCTCTGCGACATTTTAAATGTTGCTAAATGTGGCATTCTGTACACACTTAACCACCTAAGTTACAGAAACAAACACATCTCACATCCATCCTCCCTCACTCATATGGAAACAATGCGAGTTCAGGATATCATCCATGCTATTTCAACAGATTCCTAACTGGACCCCTGGTTTCCAGTTTCTATGCTACTGCACAGATTATGCTCCCCTGGGCCTAGAACACACTCCTTCATCCATGCTTCTTGGAATCCCAAGCTTCCTTGAAGGCTTGGCTCATGGGGCAACATCCTATTGAAAAGACTTTCTTTGTGCCCTTAGTTATTAGTATTCTCTCTCTCATCAAATAAGACTACATGTGTGTGTTATATTTGTATATGTATATATAGACATATATATATATATATATATATTTACATGTTATATACTCCTCTACATGGAAAGCATGCTTGTAAAGGCACTGTTTTTAAGTTTTGTCCTTGTATCCCTGGCAAAAGTACAGTGCCTTGAACATAGGAGGCACTCATAAAAGTTTGCCAGCTCATACTGGAATACCCTATTTGGTATCTGACACAGCATCATGTAGAGTATTTTCAATAAAGAACAGTATTTTGGGTCCAGATTGTTAGGATGTAGTGATTTCTCTATGAGGAAAGTCTTTGCACCAATACAGATCTGCACTCTTCTGCAGCTGACAGTCTTAAACAATTGTCGAGAGTCCCAAAAGGCCTCTCTGACTCTAAGTCTAGAAGTAGCTATTCTGTCATTCGGACTGATGACGGTTTAGGGTGAAGATGAGATACGTAAATACAAAACGGGACAGCGTATTAAAACTTTTTAAAATAACTGACATATGATAGGCTCTGCTTAAGAAAAATTCAAAAAAATGTAAATTAATAAGAAAACTGCACAAAACATTGCAGATGAAAGCACATGCCAGACTACAAAATGTGGAACACATCTTTCACTTTTCTACCATAACTTTTTCACCTAATTGAGGTTCATCTAGATTCCCTTTTTTGCTTCAAACACAAATCCAAAGTAGGCAGTTGTGTTTTCCAAATAACCCACTAACACTAATGACATAAGAAAATACATACGGAAAACTAAATCCTTGTCATCCGATACTCCCTGCCAGTGACCAAATTTCTTCTCATTCAAATTGGAGGGAAAAAAAAAAGAAGACCCAAGAAAGAAAACAGGTGCAAGGTCTCAACCTCTCTCTCCAAAAGGAATCAAAGATGAAGTACATTAGATTTATCTCCCAGGGTTATGAAAACCTTGGGACGGCTAAAAATTAAACAATGCAAAGCCGGATCTAAATGTCAGAGAAAAGTATGCTCTGTTTGACATTAAAGTTCTATTCATTTTCAAACATATGTTCAAAGCTTTGATACCAAATGAGGAAGAAAGAATGTGTTCCGTGCATTATTCTTCCATGCAACCACCAAAGCAAACAGCTGCATCTAGTGTCTTTGATCTGGCTGACAATAAGCAAGTCTCAGAAATAACAACAGATCACAGAACAAAAGAATTTAGGGCAGCAACATACTTTTTCTCCTTATTTTCATCTTCATATGTGACTCCGTAAAATCCATAGTAGTTGGTGGACATATTGGCTGAGTAATCTATCTTCAGGGTGTAGTTGTGGCCTTCCAAAAGTGCATCAGGTGTTACAATTGCAATTTGCTCATGAAATTTATATTCCAAAATTTCAACTGGTTTCTCTTGCTTTGGAACTACTGAAGTGAAGAATACTTTGGAGATATTATGCCCAGAGCTATGCAGAATAATATTCTGAGTGGTTTTAAGGACCTGAATCTTTATCTCCACAGAACCTTCAAATTTCTTTGTGGTGAGGTTCGGGTGGATGGTGAGTTCATATTGTAATGGCATTATGTTTTGGGGAAGTCTCATCCGTGCCCAGGGAAACAACTTCCCATTACTTGCAATTGGTTGTATTAAAACCATGGACTGATTCTTTTTATGGCAGCCTTCTTTGGTAAAGGTACACCGGGGAAGAAGATAAATCACCATTATTACAGAAATAGCAACCACAAGGACAAAAGTACAAATTAGCATGGTCCTTGCAGAGGGCAGTGAACAAACCCCATCGGGACCCTGTCTATAGCCAGTTATGTTATTCCGAAGACCTGAGCTTCTGTTCATGAAAGACATGCCCAGCAATTTTGCAGACGATTCATAATCCTCTTCCTCCTCATCGATGTCGTGTTCTCCAAGACCACGAACAAGTAATCTTGACCCTCGAGGCTCATATTCCACCTCATCAGGTTCCAGGGGATGTAAACAAGGTTCTTTGGCTAAATCTACCACATCTGGCTCTTCCTCAAACATGCTGTTTTCGATCATGTTCCTGGGGAGCTGAAGCCGATCTAAAAAACAAAAACAACGTGTTTTTAAAAGTATGCTATGACTTTAATATGCATTCATCTAATAAACAGAGTGGAAAGCAGCAAGGAATAAAATGCTAATAATGAAATTATTTCAGTTGAAAGCACTCTCATTCTAGGATCCCTAATTAATTTTTTTGCCATTGCAGGGCACTGGACCCACTATATTCTTTTAACAAATTCTTATTTCCCAAAGCAAAGAGATCAAATTATTAAAAAAAAAAAAGTAGCCACCATTCTTAACACATACCATAAACCTGTTATACTGTAAACCAGGATGGTAACAGTAAAAATGAAAGATTTGACATTCAAAAAGAAGGAAGACTGGCTTTCTTAAAGGAAAAAGCGTTGTTCAGTTGTGTTCTACACTTCATGACCCCATTTAGGGTTTTCTTGGCAAAGATACTGGAGTGGTTTGCCTTTGCCTTCTCCAGTGGATTAAGACAAACAGAGGTTAGGTGACTTGCCCAGGGTCACACAGTTAGTGGGTGTCTGAGGCTGGCTTTGAACTCAGATCTCCCTGACTCCAGGGCTGGCGTTGTCCAACTAAGCCACCAAAGTATTTGTGATAAAAGTCTAAACTGAAATCAGGTCCCTTTCCTTAACAGAATACTTTCATCAATACTTAGCAACATTATCTTTATGGAAGGAAATATTATGAACAAGTGTATGCTCTTAACAATTCCCAAAGGGTGACAAGTTCACATACTTTATTCATAGGAGAAACCCTCCAAACCTCATTTAGTTTCACATAACAATTCTAACAAAATTGGTTCTTTTATTTCCTAGATCCTAAGGGATTAGAAGGGTAGAAACAAAAAAAGACAGGTGGTAATCTAACAAAGCAGGAGACAGACATATTATGAACGAAATTTAAAAAAACAAAACAAAACTGCTGTGAAACGTTTAGAATTAAACAGCCCTACCTTAATAGACCCTAAGGGCATCACTATCACACACTTAGAGTCATCATCTGAAGGTTAAATTACTTCTCTGTACTCTTTAAGGCAGGAAGTTGTAGGATATATTTAGAAAGATACATTAAGATTAAAGGCTATACTTGTTAAAGGTTTTCTGTCATATGGAAAATTCACTTTTGTGAAAGACCTTATTGTCTCCAAAGGTGCTAGATAAATGAGGTATTGCTGTAATAAATTTTCTTATTAAAAAAGTAACTGTTGTACTAAAAGCTTAGTATCTACATATTAACAAAATTTACCTAAATATAACTTATTTTTCGTCATTGTCTTGCTGTTATTATAGGTGCTGTGCATAGAGTGCTGTCTTAACCCTCAATAGCTATTTCTACTCTTAAAACTAGCAAACAAATTGAGTTATAGTTCTATTTTTTAAACTGCTAATTCTTAAACTCCCCTTAGATTTAGCCCTCTTCTTAGTCTAGATGGAGAAACGTTTTCTTTGGGATTGTTGGCTCCTTTCTCCCCTGCCCAACCCGCCTTGTGTTATTATTTCTCTTCCATGTAAAACATTTTTTGTTTTCTCTTCCAAGTAAAACATTTTTAATCAGATAATTGTGTTGAATGTCCTCTGCCTTCTATATCATTAAAAGTCAAAACCATAATCTTGTTATTTCTATTATAGTTAGAAAATATTAGATCTTATTATTACATCTGTATTTACGTTAAATCTAAATTAAAGGAGGTAATAGGTCTAATGTATATAATTACTTTTTTTAGTGTCTCTGATCAATTTCTATTTCCTCTTCTCTTGCTCAAAAAGCTATCTTTAATTGTGGGTGGGCATAAGGAGTGGACCTGTGATGTCAATGGTATAGGAAACTGCAGGAGAGGAAGCTCCCTCTACCAGTGCTGGTTGGCACCTCAGCAGCATCTAGGGCACCCAGAGGCTTAGTGACTTGTCTAGGATAACACAGCAAGTATGCGTCAGAAGCAGGACCTGAGCCCAGGTCTCCCCGGATTGGAGGCCAGCTCTCTACCAACTGTGTCATGCTGTCTCTTAGTTGCGGACTTCTACTGATCAATTCTTTCAGGTCCTGGCTGTTCTGAAAATGAACCCTTCTGTTTTCCAAAAAAAAAAGGCAAAATTTACAGTATATGTAATTAAGACTTCTGTATATTTTTATTCAATGTTGACATTTTCCTTTTTTAAAAAAATGATGTTCTAGTTGATATTTCTGGATTCAGAGAACTATTTTCTTTGTTTTCATAATTCTGTAGTTTTATGATTTATCTTGGTGAAATCAAAGCTGCAATTTCTCCTTGCTGGTATCCTCTGTAATCTATTTGTAGAACACTTCATGATCTAATCCACTAGAAAACATTTTCTCTAATCAAGTCCTCAAAATGCAGTGTCCAGTTTTTCCCCTCTTTTTTCAGTTTCTTCTCGAAATTCAATGTATTCTACTGTTTGTAATCTTTGCTTTGTGTTTCAGGGACTCAGGGATTTTCACCTATATACTTTAGTTGGTTTTCTCCCTTTTTTTGTTCTCATGCTACCTGGATTTATTCTTCAATTTTGTCTTTTACTATCTATTGATCTTGACTTGGTTTCAGTGAGTTTGTTCTTTGTGGCTATGATTGATGCCTTAAGATTCTACATATCACTTTTCAATTTCCATAACTGTTACTTCATGTATTCCTGTATATTTTTCCAACTGCTTTAATTTATTAGATATATTTTTATATACTTTAATTTTTATGCTACTTTTTCATCTTATCCATTGCTGTTTCAAAATGGGTTTCTGGAATGATTTTCTCTCTTAGATCTTTTACATTGTAAATTTTTAAAAATTTGAATTACAGGATTTATTCCCCACCTTGTTCTGGCATAGGAGTGGAAGAAGTATCCTAGGAATGGGGTGGAAGGAGCTTTGTGCTCCCTGTAGTTTAGCTGGGAATGGGAAGGGAGAGAGGCAGGGAGTGCCTATGAAGGGGAGGGGAAAGAAGAAAGGGAGGAGAGGAGAAGGGGAGAGATTAAGTGTGCCAAGAATACCAGGGCTGTGGGGCAGGGTGTGCTTTGGGAATAAAAGTACTGAAAGGGCACAGTCTGTCCTGACATTCTTCTTGCACTGTTGTCCCTATATGTTCTACTCCAGCAACACCTTCATACTGCTCTTTGCCTACAATACTGGCTTCCCTAGTTTCCTTCAAAACTCAACTAAAATGGCACCCTTTACAAGAGCCTTTCGCTGTCTTTCCCACTAGAAATGCCTTTCCTCTGAGATTACCTTCCCTCTACTTTGTATCTATCTTGTATGTCTATAATTTTCTGCATATTGTCTTCCAGATTAGAATGTGAGCTCTTTGAAACAATGGACATATTTTCCCCCTTTCTTTGTATCCTCAGTGCTTAGCATTGTGCCTGAATCATAGTAAATGCTTAATTACTTGCTTACTAACTGAATGACTTAGGGACTCCATGGGGCATCCTGGACATAAATAAGATGTAGAGAACTTATGTTGATTTGGGAAACCAGACAATGCTGGTGGGCTGACAGTGTGCAGCGGGTGGAGAAAGGACCTTGGTACCCTAAATCTCCAGAATCCAACTAGGCAAGGAGATGGGAAGGGATGGATGGAGGTACTGAAGTGGGGTAAAGAGGGGAAGAATGCACGAGATCTAAGTCAGCAGTGGCTCTGACTCCCAGCACAAACCCTAGGTCAAATTATTTTCCCATAGGTGCCAAATTTATTCCCTGCCTCGAAATTTTTATTCTCTTCTACATGAGTGATCCAATCTTCAAGTTCCAGATCATATCCTACACCTCTTATGATATAAGCATAATATAGAGGAAAGTACAGAACAGGAGTGAGGAAACCTGGATTCTTGCCAGAGCTCTGTCATTAACTCACTGTTACTGGAACCAAGCAATCACTTTTTTTCACTTCAGTTTCCTCATCTATAAAATAAGGCTGTAGGATCTGGATATAGCTGGTCAACATTGAATGAGCCAGTAGCAGCAAACAGAATGAATGTCTTTATTTCAACAGCACCAAAGTAGTAAAGTCATGCAAAGTAAAATGCCAAAGAATAGAAAAAAATCACGTTCACTAGTTTTCTAGAGAGCAGGGAAACCACAGGACAATTGCTATACAGCTAAATCACCAAGCACCTAGTGTCGTACTTAACAGCTTGTAACATATAAATATTTGTTGAACTAATTTGATAAATCTTTCACCACAAATCTTAAAAATGGTACTTCCCCACAGGCCCTGATGAGAATATTTACCCCCAAGTTGAGTCAACTGGTGAAACACGGAGGGAGGGAGGGGTGGGGGAAATTGTATTTTGGGGTTTTAGCTACACTTCTGCCATCTATGGGAAAAGTCAGATAGCTTAGGTTGAACAAGACCGGACAGATGACTAAGTCCCCCTCCCCCTCCCCCCACTGTTTCTTATTCTTCTTCCTTCTGCTATTTCTCATCACCCCTTCTTTGATAACTGCTGGGGCCTCATGCTGCCTCTGCTCTCCCAAAGCGTTATGCTTTACGCAGGGCTTCCCTCTTCCTCTTTGCTCCCCCACCCCCATTAAAGGTTACACATCCTATAACCCAGTCCATGACGCCCAGCTCTCAGAATGGTCAGTGTTTTATCGCTGTTACATATAATGCTGGTTCCTAGTAACAGATGAACTCATGCCTTCTACTCGTACCACAATCTCCTTAGTACAAGGCCAGATCACCTCTCATGTGGACCGCTGCCATGGCCTAACTGTTCTCCCTCCCCTCTCAAATGTGGCCTCTACACCTGCCAAATCACATTACTAAATCTAAGTCTGACCTTGTCACTCTTCTGGCCAAGAAGCTTCAGGAGCCTCCTACTGCAGGCTGTCTGTCCCCTGTGCCCCGTGCCTTTTCCTTCTTACCTCTTGGAACCTCAAGCTTCCTTCAAGGCTCAGCTCAGTCCTTCCTTCTTAAAGAGATCTTTCCCCAAGTTTCCCTGAGTGACAGAAAAACACATCACTTTCCCCAAATTTGTAGTCCTTTAGTCATTTCATCTGT